AAGGCAAGCAGAACTGAACACGTTCGAAACATAAAGTCAAATATCAAAGTTGTTGTTATAGTCCAAGTACTATTAATGATGATGAAGATGAAACAGAAGAATATGATGATGATTATGATGATGATGATGATGATGATGAAACTGATGCTAATAAAGATACAAGTTGAGAATAGTTCTCATTGGTACGATTCCTCTAAACTGTTTTTAAGACTCCCCCGAGGTGAGTCAAACCCGCTAGCTTGCAAAAACTTTATAATTTCTTAGGACCCAGCTCTCAAAGCTTTCGGGACTTGGGCTTTCAGGTGCCGGACGTCAGCCTTAAACCCTAAACCCTAAACCCTAAACCGCCTTTAGATCGGTACTCGGGGAATGCTTGCTGCCGGCGGGCACGGTGATGTAGCCCTGGTAAGCGAGGGCCTGCCGGGAACACAGGGGGTTGAGGGTTTAGGGTTTAGGGTTTAGGGATTAGGGTTTAGGGGCCAAGCTCTCCGACACATTTCATACTCCATTACCATTACTTGGGGGTTCATGGGTAGTTATAAGTGGAGTCATATGTCCCTGAGATAGGTTTTGACTATATAGTTACCCCATTTGTAACCCCATGAGCCTCCAAGTAGAGCATTACATTTGTGACTTGCGTGGTGGTGCTTCGTGTAAGACTGTGTTTTCACAATGGATATGAGAATGGAAGCCACTAAGTATGGCTGGGCTTGCTCTGGGCCTTCACGCTGTGTATGGCTCGGTGTTCTGGGCTCCTACATAAGTGTTCCGGTGAGGTTTTTATGAAACACAAATACTCAAACAGATACGGCTACAGAGAACTTGAAAGTCTGTATGACTGCCAAGCTGTCTTTTCTTTCTGAATGCCCTTCCTGGAAGCTTGGGCTTCCCCAAGCCCTAAACTCAGGGCTCACACCCAAAGGCGCTGAGGAGCCAGGGTGTAAACACCCAAAGGCCACAATATAGACATCCACGGTTTAGGGTTTAGGGTTTAGGGTTTAACTACACCCCCTTTGAGGCCTGCAGCCCGAAAACACGTTCCTGCATGCCCGAATTACGAAGCACTCAAACTCGTAATCCCGAAGTCCCTTAGAGGGATTCTCCACTTGTAGGTCCATGGGTAGTTATAAGTGGAGTTACAAGTCCCCTAATATAGGTTAAACCTAGAATTACCCTCTTTATAAGCCCATTTGTAACTACCCATGAACCTGCAAATATGACTCCTTATAGACCCCTTATAGGATCCCTTAAAGAGCCCTTATAGAACTCTAAACCCTAAATAGATCCCTTAAAGGAGCCTTATAACTGCCCAAGTAAGATGCCGCCTGCTCCAAGACGAAGAGCGCTCCGAAGAGGCCGGCCGCAACTCGCCCGACCTACTCGGATCAGGGTTTAGGGTTTAGGGTTTTTAGTTTTTAAGGATTTTAGGGTTTAGGGCTTAGGGTTTTTAGTTTTTAAGGATTTTAGGGTTTAGGGTTTAGGGTTTAGGGTTTAGGGTTTAGGGTTTAGGGCTTCATAGCTAGACTAGGGTTTTCGTAGGGGGCTTCGGGTTTGTAATACCTAGACCCTAAACCCTAAACCGTTCATACTATAATGGTTTAGGGTTTGAAGCTTGGGGCTTTGGGTGTTGTCATGTTTAGGATTTCGGGTTGAGGGCCGCAAGTTATAGGGTTTAGGGTGGAGCAGGCGTCAAAGAGCTCGCTGCACCCTCGGAAAACTGGAATGCCACTATAGTCTCATGGTTTATCGAGCCTTCCATGGTAGATTTGGGTCTATAAAAGCTTCGCCCCAAGGCCTCGAGCACTGCACCCTCCGCCGCAAACCCTAAAAGCATTGTTTAATATTTAGTTAGCCCGAAGCCCTAAACCCTAAACTCTAACCCTGAACCCCACCTGGAACCGTAAAAGCTTTGTTTTGCCTAATTCCCAAGCCCCGAGCCCGGAACCCGGCACCCCACACCCCAAAGCTCCAAATCCCGAACCCTATAAGCTCCCTTTAAGCCCAAGGACCTTCTGATTGCGATTTCAATGTGAACCCTGAGATAAAATCTGAGGTTACAATACACTACAACAAAGCCATATCTGCTTCTTGGGCCATGCCTTCTTCAGGGCGAAGCCGGAACAGAAGCCCATCCTTAGTGGTCTCGACTGCAACCTTTTAGTTGTGCTTAAACTACCAAAACCCTACTTTTTTGTAAGTTCTTAATATACACCCTAATATGGAATATATAGGGACGCTACCGAAAAGTAGGTTAAGGTGGGGTCGACCTAAAACCCCTAAACCTTGGTTCAGGGCTTTTGTTTGTGGATTAAGGTTGCCGGCTTCAGGTTGAGACGCCAACCTTTGGGGTGCCTGGGGTTCGGCAAGGCTTACGGCTAGACCCTACCCTAAGGCTCATGGACCCCCATAGTGAAAGCCCAAACCTTAGCCCCCAAAGCCCAAGCCTTCCCCTAAAATGGGGTCTATAAGGCTTTGGTGAGCTTCGACATTCCCAGGGCATTTAGGGACTGAGTGGCGTTGGGGCCTCAGGAACCACCAAGTAGGGGTCGGGTTCTGCAGTGTTGTGCGATTTGAGGGTCTTGCAGGGAACCTTCAGGCTTTGCTCGCGACGGGATGACGAGATGAGCAGTTCTTTAAATTAGGGTCCCAATTGGGGTCCTTTTTATAAGGGTGCCGTACTATATTGGGGACCTAAAAGGGGACCCTGTTTTAGAAAACTACCCAGATGGCTCTTTCAGGGGTGGGAGACGGTGGGCGCCAAAAAGGCTTCCACCTTTTCGTGATTTGGAGTCTTGGGTCCTTGGGACTCAGTTATGTTGCTGTTTTGGAGTTTGGGCCCTAATTACGCTCTATTTGCTGGGGTTTTAGAGTTTTGGCTTTAACTTGGGTATCGGGCTTTGGGCTTCTTCAAGTTTGAGGTCAACCAATCGCTGCAAGTGACCTCCCGCATAGCTTATCGAACACTAAACTTAACTAAACATACCCAGCGAGGAATCATCGATCAAGCTCCAGATACCCTCATAACGCATAATAAAATCAGGCTACGTAAACCCTAAACCTGCAACCCTGAACCTTACATTACCCTATATGCTTCCAAGGACCTTCTAGTTAGGGCCCTAAACCCCTGAAGGGCGCACCTGGAAGCATATGCTTAACCCCTAAACTCTTTTCAACCTCACGCCAAAAACTCTACACCCCTTTAAGCCCTGCAAGAATAAATCCTAAGCCCTTACAGCCTCTCTTGGCGTCAGGCAGACTGCCCAAGGAGATGCTTTGGCCAAAGGGTACGAGGCCCTGACGGACGCTGAGGTTCCAACTGAAACTGGAGTTTACTCTTTGGCGGGTTTACAGCTTCAGCAATTGGGGTATGCAACCAGAGAAACGTGCTTTGGAGTGTCAGTTCTGTTGGTAGACGTTAACACCCAGCTCTCGTGTTGAAATCTTGCAAACGCTAGAACCTATACAGAATTCAAAAACGTGTCTGCGTTAAGACTCGATGACACGTTCCGCGTTCAGACTCCTCACGGGTCAAGATCAATCCAAACGGACACTACATAGCATGCTGTTTTCGGGTTATCAACCCTTAAGCACATTTTCTAAACTGTTTATGCAAAACCAATCAACATCCTCGGCCCAATATCAATCAACGTACAGCCAAACCCTAGGCCTAATCCACGCTACGCCGAACCCACAAACAAACCAGGAGCCTCAACGAACAGAGCCTCTGAAAATGAGCTAGTTCGATCAGGTGCGAGGGTCTCGGATCTGACTATAATTTAAATCAAGGGGGACCTGAATACGGTTTAGGGTTTAGGCTTTAGGGTTTAGGGTTTAGGGGGGGGGGCCTGAATTTCGGGGCTTGAATGATTACAATGGGATTTAGGGATCTCATGATTTGTCACTAGAAATACATTTCGGACTGTAGACCTCCCTTTTACACAAAATCCCTACGTTGCGGGGCATACATGCTTTTTGACACTTGGATCCCTGCTCTGTCTTTGTGAAGGCTTACAATGTTGAGACACTCAGCCCAATGCTCCCCAACCATGATGTAGCCCAGTCCGTTGATGCTCCGCTTGAATAAAGGAGGGTGGGCTCGCGCACCCGGGGATCTATACTTTTGGGAGCCAAACGCTGAAGTGGAAGCTCCAAAGCTGTCCAAACCACTCAGATACCCCAAGAAAGAATCTACCTCGAAAACCGCCGGCCAACAGTTCATAGCCGACCCCTCCTACACTCCCAACCCCACATCCAAACGATCCCTCGGTCCGACATTATGATGCACCTTTGATGATATAAATCCTTCATTATCTTAAGGACCCTAAACTATGGGGATTATGGTATATTTCTTATTATGGGTAATGCAGGATTTATATCATCAACCGTATGGCCTCAATCACCGAAGCCTGGAGCCCTACACACCTAAGGACCTATAGACTCTATCCATAGGCCCTAAAGTAGTTCCTTTTTGGGGTTCATATTTAGAATATATTAGGGAATCCCAAAAAGGATGAACTACTTTAGGGCCTATGGGTACCCTAAGTCCTAAAGCCAAATGCAAAGACAGCCCCAGGCCACGCCGCAACGGAAATGCCGAGCAGAGACCAGACTTTATGCGACACAATCTCAAGATGGGTTGCTTTTGGGACAACTTCCCCTAACCCTCCAGCTACCTACTATATAGGGCCTTAGGGGCTCTAGTGCCCTAGGTAACTGGGGGTTAGGGTTCCATTTAGGTCTAGGGTTTGGGGTTATAGGGGTTCAACATTGCGGTTAGAGGGGTCTGACATGTGCCGCATTTCTGGAGTTTCAGCTGAGATGCAACTTCGTGACGCCGCAGGCCACCACTTCTGGTGAAGAAGTCTCCTTTCTACCTTCTGCTATGGAAATGTGACTGACCCATGCAGTCCAAGATTTGCGCTGTGCCGTTAGCTTGGCAATTCAGCCAGGAAGCATATAGTTCTGGAAAAGAGCATGGTGCTCGAGGAAACAGCTTCTGCTCATGAAGGCCGGAACCGCCGCCGCTTCTTGAGCTCTCTCTCGTCAGCACCGTCATGCTCAGGCTTCCTCAACAGCTTCCGAACAGCCACCGGGAGATCGCCTTTCTTGAGCATCGCCTGCACCTGCTCATCTGTGGAGCCGAAGGAGGCACATGCTCTCACCAGCGTCTCCAGACCCTTCAGCACTGCAGCCTCTGCGATAGCCACGAAGCTGTTGGCATCGATCATGCCATGCAGTGCAGTGCATAAGATCTGCACAACGCTATGCACCTGCCAGCGGTGCGCCAAGTCCACGGCAGCAAGAACGGTCTTATGGTCGGGGTCTTCGCGGGTGGAGCTCGTGTACAGAACATCCAGGAAGAGCGAGATGCCGGAGGACGGGGAATCCTTGACTTGAATGCGCCTGCTCGTGCCCTCCGTCATTGCAGACTCCAGCATCGCCTTCAAGACCGGAGAAGCAACGGTGAGGATGTGCTCGTTCGCCGCCACCTCTCCGTCTGAACTCTCGAAGATCACGTTGTGCGAGGCGGTCAAGTCCCGCATGGACTCCCACAAGTCTACGATACTCTGAGGCACGGCAACGTCTGTACCGTGGCGGGTCTCGTGGGAGGATGAGCGCGAAAACAGAGGAAGGAGTTGTTTCAGGTATTGCTCTTCCGTTGTCCACTCCGCATTACCCCGGCACTTTTGCATTTCCCGAAGCCATGCAAAACACAGTGAAAGGGCTGATTGCCCACGACAGTTGAACGAGATCTTCGTTTCTTCTGGGTTGCTCCGTTTTTGAAGCCCGTATATTTTTTCGACATCGTCCCTGACCCTCTGTTGCGGATCAGCTCCGACCTTCAGGAGCCATTCCACCATCTCGAGGTTATGATTGTGTTGAGCAGCTGGCTGACACAGGGTTTCAGGGGCAACCAAGTAAACGAGCGCCGGTAGTTGGTCTTCCCCCAGAGGCTGAGACCAGTCAAAGTGGAGTGGTGCGAATGCTCGCAAGCCTTCCAAATCATGCAGGGTGATGAATCCATGAACCACATCTGCATCAATCGTCCGTGCCATTGACGCGCAGCAAGCGAGTTCTACTGCCAACCCTGGCTGCCCAATTAACGGCTTAACCCAAAACCCTGGCTCCTGCAAACACCCAGCTAGAACCCAAATTCTGGGTGTGAACTGGAAAGCTCCGATGAGAGAATCCTTGAGATCGAGAGAGGCATCAGCAGAAGAGCGGAAAGGGTAGTCTCCTGCATCCCAAAGGCTTTGGTGTTCCAGCCTTCACGTTTTGAGTTGTCAAAAACACTAGAAAATCCCTCAAAAATCACAAAATTCCAAAGCCCGAAAGCCCCAAGTGCAAACCTGCAAACTCCTGAGCCCTAAACCCCTCCCGGCCAGCCCTAAAGGCCGGGGTTCGCCAAGGCATCTTTTCTTCCGAAACCCTTCATGTACCCTGCACGCCGTTAGGGGCGTTATATAACCCTGTCTGAGGATGACATAGGGGACTTGATAACTAGAATAGGGTTTCGGGGTACATAAGATCATCTTATATCACAAGGAAGCTCCAAAACAGTATTGGGAATTACTACGGTGCCTGCAAATTACATGGAGGGCCCTGGTGTTCTTGACGATTTCGGGAGTTCCAACGTTGAGACTCCCGGCTTTGAATGGTTTCGAGACTATAGTGACTGTAGCATACGGACATCAAGAAGTAGGAAAGGTTTTGGAGGTACAGTATATCTGCTAGAACGAACTATAGGGCCTATATTCCCGAAACCCGTAGCTTAAGTACTCCAAAAGACATTCAATCAAGGAATGCACCCTGGGCACACAACGCAAGACCCTAAACCCTAAACCCTGGACCTCAGACCCTATACCCTAGACCCTAGACCCTCGACCCTAAA